CAAATTATCAGCATAAATACTGTGACAGCCAATCCGTGAATCATGTACGATACTTTTACTTACTCTAAACATGATGATGATAGATAGGAGCTGCTTTCTTCACCCTTCAGAAGCAACAAATGAATTGAGTGCATCTGGTAAATCTGTCGTTCTATTTATACGCAAGTTCTTGTAATCCTGTCCAGATAGTTAACTTGAAACATTTTTTCGCCAAAAACTTGGTGTCGGGTGTCTGCCGACCAAAGGCAAGCGTATTGTATAGAAGGTTTACAACAAGCTGACATTGCAACACATACGTATAGTCTGAGCAAATTCGATATCGCAAAACTCGAGTAACAGATTGCAGTATGATCTTTCTTGCAGAAGATTTTTTTATTATTCGGCAGGCATAGCACGAAATTGATGACCAAGCAAGCTACAACAGAGAAATGAAAAAAGCACATCAAGCATATAAAAGGACGTACGAAATTTCGAAGCTCGTACCATTAAATGTGTGTTACAACATCGATATGTAAATGTATATCAACGACTGACAATGAGAAGTAAAAGACAGGGAGATAGCAATTACTCAATGTGAATGTATCTCAAATTGCAACCGATATGTCTTGGTATCCAGGTATACTATAGAATTACAGCTAAGCCATCGTGTAAAAGATCATACTTTTCATGTGTATTGTATAGTTACTGACCATGACGTTAAACATGGATGTTAGCGAACTATTGGAAAGATTGTCCATGACTCGATATTACTGTTCAAAAATTGTAACTAATTTTAGCACAATTCATTCATCATTTTTTACAAATTTCGAAAACATTCAGATCGGATCCTACTACAATTCTTGAATTTTTATACGAATTTTAATCTCATTTAGATGAACAGAAAGGACGTTTTAAGAAACTGAAATTATGTCTGACAATTTTAACATTTGAGATATCTTCAACGTTCGAACAATACAATACTGGACTGAAAATGATCGCAACTGGATTAAACGTATTGCAGAGAAAAGATAATAGTATTCGAAATAAATTTCTGAAATTTAGAAACTTTTCATAATGAAAGGGACAATAAATAAAAATATACGAGTCAACAAAATTAATTAATTATGTCCTATTTAAATCATTGCATTCGATAATAATTTCGCACCAGATTATAAATTTCCTATGAATGTATTTTAACGTATGTTAGAATTAGTTTGATTTCAATGACCAAGTTCATACTAGCACACTCGATTGCATGTATATAAAAATATAAATATTCCGTCTATTTCTAAGTTACGTTATTTTGAATCTAGTTGTAAACTCGTGTTTGACAATTTGGAAAAATCTTCTCTTTTCCTGAATTCTGATCCAAATCAAAGCTTGTCAAATATATTTATTTTATTCTCGAATGAAATAATAAAAAGATATTGGATAAAGGGGGCGAGTAGGGTAGAGAAAAGAAAGAAGGAGAACACGGTGGGAAAGAATAAACGTATGTGTGTGTAAGTGCGAAGTGAACGGGAACGCAATCAGACGGTCACTGCCGGTTGCAGCTATTACGCAACTGACATTGGCAAAGTGTAACAGAACGGGCACGGCCAAGATCTTTAAGGTTTCATAATTATGCCGGAGGCAAAGGAGTGTGTTATTATAATTTGATGTACCAAATTGATCACTTTCTAAATCAAATTTTCAGCCATTAAAGATTTATTATTTTTCTTGTTTTAGACAAAATTTTTAACGAAGCAATAACAAATAATGTATACTGAGATGCACCAAATTTCTAAATCAAATTTTCAGCCATTAAATATTTATATTTTTCTTGTTGTAGGCAAAATTTTTAACGCAGCAATAACAAATAATGTATACTGAGATGCACCAAATTTCTAAATCAAATTTTCAGCCATTAAAGATTTATTATATTTCTTGTTGTAGGTAAGATTTTTAACGAAGCAATAACAAATAATGTATACTGAGAAACTGATATGCATCATCATATTCTACATTATCGAGCATAAGAGTAATATTTACATAGTAGGAGCATACATAATTAAAGAAATTTGGTTTGAACAAACTGGTTTTGATAGATTTAATATCTATCGTGTCGTTGGAAATGAAAACGTTGCCGGTACAATACGATTCATTTATTTATTACTTCTATATAAAATACAGTATAATCGATAATGTTTATGATTCTGAACGGTGTTTTTATTAATAATACAAATTAATAATTCGTTGGCCGATTGTACTACAACAGTATAAGATTCCCGCTATACATTGATAACATCGAGATCCATTCTTGTATCCATCATATATAAACTTGATTGCACATACACATAAAATCACTGCAATTTTCCAATAATCCAATTGTTGGAATGTCGGGAATAATATGCTGAGATCATTAGTTAACAACTCCATTATGCTGCATTATAGCAATGAGTTAATTGATAGCCTTTCATATTTCAATCACGCTCTCAAATGTAACTAATAACAAAAGCATTTTCATCTCAGCGAGTAAGTATACTTTTTAATTATTATCGTGATCGAAAAATATATTATTATTGATGAACTATTCGATCGATTATACTAAAATCACTATTTTTGAAAACATTCACGGATCCCGCGCGTTATAATTTACACATATTTGTACATATTTCATTTCATCTATCTTTTTTTTTAAATATCTTTCGAATGACATTTAGACAGGTTTATTTTTTCCAAAACTACTTGCATTGTATAAATATAAGAAATAATATATAAACATATACATACGATTAGTATAATAGTTACTTTCCCTTCTTTCCTTTCCACTTTTTCCCTAAAAATCTAAAATTAAATAAAATCTTAAATAATCAGCTAAACTCATCGAACGATGAACTGTCTAAAAATAATTATGTTTCATTTTGACAGTATATACGCCTTCCTCCTCACTTGAGCTTATAAGAAAACTATATTTTTCGATACACGAATTTTCTATTTTTAACTTATATTATTATAATAAAGTTGCACCAGTTCATGAAAGCCGACTATTACAAAAACAACTCTATTGCTTGCACTTTATTAACAATATTCATTGGAAGTCGAAAAAAAGGAAAAAACAAAGAACAAGCACAAATATATTATTACTAGATATTAATTATACTAATTGCAATAAAGACATCGCTAAGAGTACATGAAAAATACCATTGCTTACACGATAATACACGAAGAAAGCTGCGTTTTCTCTTTTATCAATTCGTTCGTGAATTTTAGAAAACTCAGCAACTGGATAATATCGTGCTTTTTTCCAACATCCTTCTTTACAAATTAATCACTATTAATTAACTAAATTTTAAGCGTAAACGAATAATAATGATTTACATTGTTTTACATTGATGTCGGGGACCAGAAATTCATCTCTCTTAATTCCGATGGTTTTACTTTAAATACGCTCGAGTAGGCAGCTGGTTTTCCAACTGACTTTTCATCGCTTCCTATGTATGTAAGATTTTGCGACGATATGGACTTCTTTCGAGTAAGCGACCTAGGTGGAACTGTCGCAACTTCCGTGCCTGTTTCGTCTTCTTCCTCGATTTTGCCAGTAACGATTTCCCTCGATTGTCCGAAGATGCTTGCCAAAATCCAGCTTCCTTGAAGAGATGCACCAGTGAAGTATCGGTTTGAAGGAACACGACGTCGAGCTTTCGGCGAACTACTTGGACTGCCTGCTGGCGAAGTGAGTGGAGTAGCTGGTAAAGATTTACTTCCTTTTTTCGGTTGACTGACGGCCTGTTCGGCCGAAAAAGTTTCATGAAATTTGTTAGACATCATTTGACTGGCTACAAGAACAATTGATTTTCCACAAAGTGCTGGCTCGCTATGAAACCCATCATCTACTCCCTGTGATTTTGTAATTTTCGGATTATCAGTTAATGATGTCTTCGGACTTGGTTTAGTTCCGTTTCCTAGGATGCATAATCATTTAATCATAAATATCGAATCACAAAGTATAAAAGAGAATTTTACTTATTATTCTTCATTGTTTCAGGAGTCGCAACAATTAAAAGACAATTATTAATCACACAAAGAACATATGCAACAATTAACTGAATGAAATACCTTTGCTTACTGTTGAAGTTGGTACAAATGGTTGACAAGGTAAGGGATGTTTGCTGAAATCAATTTCCTGATTCTTTTTCTTCTCTTCGGTAATCTGTTGTTGCGTGTCTTGTACCTTCACATTGTTTGTTGATGAACTAATATTTTGTTCCCCAAAAACTTCATCAATCGGGCAATACTCTTGTGAAACCGACGATCGGCTTTGTGTCTTTGGATATCGTATGTAAAAGAAACTGTCGTCATGAGATGGCGGACTGAACGTTGTATCATCAAAATCGTATCTGCATAACAGAAAAAAGACAAAAGACTGATAATTACAAATTATAAAGAAGGAAAGTAAAATTAGAAGCGAACAGGAATATGTTACTAAAAAAAAAGCTCTTCGACTTATAGTCTTTTGCTAGAAGATTTCTTCAGCTTTGGATATCTTTTCACCATTAATATACCGTTCTCTTTACTACCAACAGTTTGTCTATAAATTTCTAAACTTTATAATAATGCGTTTCTTAAAAGGCATCGAATAATTGAGGGAATAATTCCACACTTTTCATAACTATTCTATTGAATTCAACACTACATGTTATAATATGCGTGAACAAAAAATCGTTATTTAATTCGAATTTCTAATGTTGATCGCGACATAGGTTTAGAAAGAAAATAACCAGAAGGTATAACAAACGCTATGCACCGCACACAGCAAACTATACAGAGTTACACTACTCTTGTGAAGAGTGCTGTGAGTCTAAGAATAGCGGGCACAATGCCCATACGATTAACTGGTTATTCGCGTTATATCGCATGTTGGCCAAATTTCATGTATAAATATTTCTTATCGCTTGCTAAATGTACATTAAGTATTTAAATCCCTTGTTTTATGTATTATGATTAATTTCAAAATATTTAACTGTTACGATACTGTGCCATTTTTGTCATTTACAATTAGCAAAAATAATTTAAGTTTCATTCACATATATTAATTTAACTGTCAAGTGGAAGAATATATAGTTACTGTAATTTTTGTATCAACACAGAATAATTTAAATGATTTTAATAAAAAATTATATATTTGTAAAAATAATTAATAATTGTAATATATATGTAAAAAAATTATATATTTGTAAAATAATTAATAATTTGTTTACATATGAAATATTGAAAAAAAAGAAAGATATAACATCTTATGTGACATTTTCTATATTAAAATCTTGTTTCTTTATGCTTTACTTAAATCAAATTTTATACTTTGTGACTGCATGTGTTAGACTATGATTACAAATGTATTTTCCAGCAGGCAAACGTTCTGACAAATATGTATATCAGAACAATGAAATATATATGCATATGTATGCATTTTTGTGAGATGCTACTTTAAGACATTTCATTTAGAACACCCATTCATATAATCATAGTTTTAGTTTTACGTGAAATAAAAACAAATCCAACAACTGGTTCAGTGGCATGATTTTTACTTGATAATCCAAATACCAAATTAATACTAAATCTGCAGAGTAAAGAAATTTCTTGTATGTGAAAATATCTTAACAGCAATTAAAAGAATTGCTTTTTACTATTGGGATTGGTTTAAATTTCTTCTATACATTCAGCAAAGAATATTGTTACAAGTCTGCAACTCAGTACAAATAAAAATTTAACAATTTTATAATGCGAAGATTCAAAGGGAAACAGAGGAATATACCTGCTTTCGGTTCGTCCTTTCATCCATTGTGGCAAAGATATTCCACCACTGAGTATTCTATCTTGTTGTTTTGTAGAGCTCATTTTTTAAATTCCAATAAAAAAATACAATTCAATTCCTTTTGAGTTTGCCTGTTCGCTTATGTTTATTTTTTTTATTTTTTTTTTATTTTTTTTTCAGTAGATCACGCTTTGAGATCAGATTCGAAAAATATCCAAAATTTCAAAGTCGTAATCTTTCAAAAGTTTTTGATAGAAAATGAATGGTCTCCTAAGCACGTTGTTCTAGTGACCTATAACATGAACAAACAATGAACAAGCGCATTTGCATAATAAATTTGATTTTATTAAACATTTTTTCTAGACATGTGCTAGATTAAACGCATAAAAAACAATATATACATATTTTGCAACTAATATTGAAATATCATAGGAAAGGGAGATAAAGTGATTCATTATTTACATAGAAAAGAATCTACCTAAGGATAATTGTGATTTACACAGTAAAGAATCTCTCTAAGGATAACTTTGAATATTCAAAATTCTTATTCAAAGTATGGAAAATATCCTTTTAAAAATAACTCTGAGTATTCAGAAAAAATGTTAAAAGATATTTTTGGAAAATATCAATTAACCAATTGTTTTCTTGTTACGGCTATCCTCTTATCTTCACTTTTATTAAACATATAATGATTTTTATGATTGATTAACAGTGCATTTTGCATATGTAATATACATATATATGCATATATACATTTGTATTTTTCTTCCCTCTTTTTTCCCCGTTTCTTTCAAAAAAATGTATTTTTGTTGCAATGTCTATAATATCGATATTAAAACATTTCCTTGTAGAACAAAACATTTTGTTTTGAATTGCTTGCCAAAACAGATGATATACAAGCAAAGTAGATTGTATTTCGAAAATGGCGGAAAATGTAAATATGTACAAAGAGCAATCTAATATTAAGAAATTAATATCTGATATAAGGAAACTTTTATATATCCTAAACTACAGACTTTATAATGACAAAGATTTACATAAAAAAAATAATTATTTTCACAATTTATTACCAAGTTTCTCCTATTTATTCATTAGAATACATCATTTTGAAAGTTGAAGTATAAACGAATATATTTCAATCGAAATAACAATATGTACATTGATCGATTACTTACTCGTTTTTTATGATATATTGGGTACTTTTGTACAATTACTAACCCCATAACTGCGATATTTTTACAAAATTTTGAAATGCTAAATCGTAACGCTATATCGTGATTCACGAACTATCCACCATTTACTACGAATAAATTCTCGTTGCAAGGAATCAGCAATTAGCAACTTCTTTACAAAAAAAAAATTCCTATTTGTGGAAAAGTGAAAAATAACTAAACTAGTAAACAGAACTAGGAAAAATGAAAAGAAACTACATACATACATTAATATAGAACATTAAAACAAAATCATATTTTTATATAAGTTTGATTTATTAAGTATGTAGATATATCTGATTTATAAAAAAATAAAATGATTTATAAATTTATAAAATGATAAGTATGTATGTTAAAACTTTAAGATGAGTTTACAACATTACTACAAACTTGAAGTGAGATACATTTGGCGAATCGTACAATCAGTAGACTAGATACTTATACTGCTTTAGTATTGGAAGACAAGCAAACGTTCTTCCGGTTGGGGTTACGGATTTCAACTGTTGTCGGTAAGCGCATTAAAATCAAAATCGATTTCAATCGGACTTAAAGAAATAATTTCAACAAAAATTTTGTATCAAAATTATATTATTTTTTCTCTGATATATAAATGTGGATATTCTTATGTTTTGAAAACGTTAATAGTAATTGCAACGATAAAAGTGACAGTAACTAACCTCTAACAGTTCTTTATTTATGTTCAAATATATTACATGATTTTGCTAGAAACAATTTTAGTTTATTGTAATTGATCCAATGTTATATTGCTAATTTTGTACACACAGGTAACCAACAACAATGAAATTCAATAAGCTTGTTTCTTCTTCACGTCGAAAAAATCGAAAGAGGCATTTCACGGCACCTTCTCATATTCGGAGAAGACTTATGTCAGCTCCTCTTTCGAAAGAACTTCGGCAAAAGTACAACGTCCGTTCCATGCCAATTCGTAAAGATGATGAAGTTCAGGTAGGATGATATTAGTTAAATAATTTTATAAATTGTGTAAACATTGAAATAAATGAAGATGAGCAATTATTTCATTCGTTAAAGAAATTTCATTTTTGTTTGTTGTTCAAAGGTTGTACGTGGACATTATAAAGGCCAACAAGTTGGAAAAGTTGTTCAAGTATATAGAAAAAAATTTGTCATATATATAGAAAGAATTCAACGTGAAAAAGCTAATACTGCTAATGTATATGTTGGTATTGACCCATCCAAGGTAAAAGCAATTATTTTTTTTCAGTATTATTTTAATATACATCATTAAATTTCAGTAGATGATGAATTAAACCATTCACATAGATTGAAGCACAATGCTTGTCAATTTCACTGATATACAAGGGTTCTCCTTTATATCTATGAATCTGACTTGCTTAGCTTTTTTACTGCAGAAAAATTGGCACTGATATTATAATTTTGCCTTCTTTCCCTTGTCAAAAAATGTTTATTATTTTCTAATTTAAATCTCGTTTTTTTTACAGACTGTTATTGTGAAACTAAAGATGGATAAGGATCGTAAGAAAATTATTGACAGGAGGAGTAAAGGTAGACTCGCAGCATTAGGCAAAGATAAGGGAAAATATACTGAAGACTCAACTGCAGCCATGGAAACTTCGTAAATTTAATTTCATTTATAAAAATTTATATTTCATTGAATAAAAATATAATGCTGAAATTTGTTGATATTTTTTTTAATTCTGTTAGTAATCCATAAAAAAAATATTTCATATATAAAAGTAAATCTTTGACACAATATAAACATGAACATATTAAAATTGTAAAATTATTCAATTATTATTAGATTGATAATTGTAGAATTATCTATTGCTATTATCCAATATTTGTATTACTAATAGATAAATTCCTTGATCAAGTTTTACAAATGCATGATTTCTTACTTATGAGTTATTTATATGATATTTTATTCATCAATGTTTAAATGTTTTTTCTTGATTTTTTTCTTAAAATTTTGCCTCTTTGAGATTATATCATCTTTGATTTCATTAGCTTTTGTAATTTTTCCTTGTGTCACAACACTTGCTATTGGTTTAATGTTTACTGTAAAGAAAAGATAATCGATTAAAAAAAAGATATATTGTTTAATAATTAATTTTAGAAATAGTTATCAATTTATTTACATACTTATTCTGTAAAGTATTTTTGAATCCTTTGTACCAAATATAGAAGATATGTTATCTTTATTTTTGTACTTGATTTTATATTTTTCTTTTCCAAGCTTTAATGTTTTTTCTGTTAAAACTATTTTATTTCCTACTAACTTATTTTCAAGTATCTAGGTAAACAAAATAAAAATTTTTTTGATAATATATCATATATTATCGTGTTAACCAAAAAGTAATGTAAGATTTTTGCAGTAAAATATTATTTTTTGTCTCTTACCAATAAACATTTTTAAATTAAAAAAAAATTTAGTTGAAACCTATTTATTAACTTGGAATGTTTATCAAATATAACGTTTGAGTTCGGTAATTCAATATATTAACTACTTTATTCAATATATTAACTACTTTTGAAGTGAATTGTGAAAATATTATAATTGTTGCAAATAAAATATATAATTTATGAAAGCATAATGTAAAGAAAATATTCAAAATAATCGAGATCAAGTATATTAAAATTCAATAATAATAATAATTTTAGTTTAATAAAGATCTGCATTTTTATGTGTAGAAATATTTTTGTACGAAAAAATAATAAAGTTGTAAAAATAATGGTAAAAATAAAAAAACTTAATATATTTTAGAATAAAGATTTATATCTATATTATGTTATATCTAAGAAAAAAAGACTTGTTTTGTGTGTTTTATGTGTTTTATGAATAAAATCCACGTTACTTTTTGGCATACATACATATGACATATAGATTACCGAACGTGGAATTGTAATGAAAGCTTGTTGTTCTTCTTCTTCTATATCTTTGAATGTAAAAGAAGGTTCTGTTGTTTGAGGCATTAAGTTTTCCTTTTTTACAAATTCCTGTAACTTTAAACAAAAAAGACATGTTAATAAAAGACAGAAATAATGGGAGAGAATAGAAAATTCATAAAAATAAAATTCTAATTTATACATTATATGGTCTACCACATGTTGACTTCTTATCTACAGACTGCATCATACTTCCAAGTTCCAAATTCTTTTCATTTGATTTTTTTATATTCTTTGTTTTATCAAAAACACAATTTGTTACATAGTTTAAATCCAATTTATATTGAGCAGATTTATTAGTAGGAAATGATAGTTCAATATCTGGAGATGAATCTCTTACAGATCTTTTGTATAACTTATCTATCATATTTTCAACATTAAAGTCACTATCTACAGTACTAGACTCACTATCTACTGTTAAATTTAATCTTCCAAATTGTGATAATTGATTTTCAGTTGAATGAAAAATATCATCTTCTGTCTGCTTAGTTTCTTCTATTTCAACTTTTTCATCACAAGAATTGTTTGTGCTTAATTCTTCTGGTTTTGTATCTTTAGTAAATACAGATATAGGGGGTACTATTTTATACTTTCTGTTAACAATTTCTGTATGAGTAACTATGGATTGTGGTTTTTTTGTTTGCATTTTTTCCTTCACATTTATATTTTCAATTGTAAGTGATGTTGTATCTTGAAAATATTCTTTTTTGTCTGACATATTGTAAGTTTCAGATTTCAGATCATTATCACTGTTTCTCAAATTATTTAGTACAGAAGTAATACTTGATATATCTTGTTCTTTGTCTTGAGTCTTGTTAGAGTCATTATTAGATATTCTATGAGTCTTTCCATTTTCTAAAAATTCTTCTTCTGTATCTTCATCAATACCAGAGTCTTTTAGTTGGTATGTATTACCAATACTTAAAGTCTCATTCATAATTATTTCTGTAATATCGGAATTTTGTTTCATCTGATTAGGACAATTTTGATTAAAAGGTATATTTTCATTAATATTTTGAATTTCATTCAAATTATCTAATGAAGCTGGCAAATCTTTTAATGTTTTAATATTAGGACTGTTAAGTATTTTATAATGATTTTCATCTGATTGAAATTCTTCATTGATATCATTTATCAACAAAGAATTTGATTGTCCTGATTCATCATTATTGTTTGTTACTTTTTGTGTTATAGTTGCAACATTTGTTACATTTTTTATGGGCAATTGGTTTTCTAAATTTGAAATATTTTGTTTAGTACAGTTTACAAAATATTTAGTAAGTGTGTTCATCTTATTTTGTGTATTTTTTTTAACGTTATTTTTTGCGGAAGAAGTTTCATTATTATTATCATTATTATCATGTATAAAATTATTTGCATTTGATTTTCTCGTCAAAGGAGTGTTTTCAGATTTAACAACCTTTTGCCATCCTAAAGTTATAGATGACTTTCGTTTAGATTTTTGTGTAGATCTTCTTTTAGAACTTACATTGTTGCTTTCACTAGTTTTAGATTCCTTTTTATAAAAATAGTTGTTTCTTTCTTCAAATATTAGTCGTGTATAATTGGCTAAAGAATTGTCATCTTCACTAAAACTAATATTATCTTCAGTTTCACTATTATCTGTCAAACATCGAAGAATTGAAGTCTTTATTTCAACATATTGCCTGTACGATTTTAAGCTTTGAAGCTGTTTAATCACAACATTCATAGCTTTATTTCTGCGGGGTAATTTTCTAGATGGTACAAATTTATGGGTCAAAGAGGAATCTATCATTCTGTCAGCAACTGTATTTGGTACTACGGTCCATTCGTCAAATTTCATGATGATACCCTTTCACTAACCTAATATCTGTAACATTCGCAGTCACTTTTTATAAAATATTATTTTTAAAATATTATTTTTATTTAAAAGTAATTAATATTTCAAGTTAATAAGCATAAAAAAATTATTATTTCAATTGCAAATTACAACGATCTAAAATTTATTTAAAACTTTTAAAAACAAAATTGGCTTCACAATGCACATGTACTGTAGGCATATACTGTTAAGAAATACATTCGAATTTGGAGGTTATGAAATTTTGTACTCACGTACTATATATACAATTTAAGATTCAATGTTTTGTTAAAAAAAAAATTTCTTAATGAATTCATACATTTGAAATCACAGGCCATTGACATTTGATATTTATAATCAGAAATATTTTTTTTAATCTTTCAAAACTCGCACGTAAAATATAGTTATTTTCGGAATCGAAACTATATTATAATTGTGAAATTGAATAAAAAGAAAAATATAGAATTGTTAAAATTAATATAAGTTTTTATACAACATTCCAATAGGATTTCATGAAGTGAATGTTTTAAATAATATCGTAATATGTAATTTAGTTTACGTGCATTTTTCAAAAATACGAGCAAGTAAATGGAACAGAAATTATACACAGTGAGATAAAATCGAGTCTAAGAAAAAAAAAAATAATAAAGAAATTTATTTCACGATGTACAATGTTTTTTTTTTATTTTTATTATCGAAATACAAAATGGAAAAGGAATGACATGAAATAGGCATACAAGATTTTTAAAATTAACAGAATTCTTGTCGTATAAGGATGGGATTCTCTACGAAGAAAGAAAGTGCTTTATTTAAAAATTTTCAATAGAATATATATTTTGTATACCGGAAGTGTATGGATCGATGGATATAGGTACAAACAATGATGTAAATGAAAGAAAAGTGGAGGGAGTGAAAGGATAGAAGTAAAAGAAAAAGAATAATCAGATTGCCAAAATATTTTATATGGTTCGTGCATTTAGATGCACGAAATAAATATTAGTGTGCGTTCTGATGATAATAATAAAGATAAAAAGATATGCAAAAAGTGAAAATATTTTAAAAAATCGTGTTTTGAAGTTTGGTCATATAGTACATAATAGTGTGAGAGAAAGAGGTGCAAAAGCGCAGAAAGAACGCCGTCAAGAACTGCAGCATAAACGGTCGAAAACTAATTTCAAATAGGTATGGATTATAGATGATCTACTGAGTCGGTCGTGCGATAAAAAATCATTCGACTTTCATGCGTTTCGCTTATTCTTCGGAAATCGGTTGAAGGAACTGGTGTAAATAGAATTTAAAGCAAAATGATTCGAGAGTTTTTTTTTGGAACGTGAAAGTGTTAGCTGAATGATTAATCTCGACTGACAATTCAGAAGTATAAGTTGAAACTTATATGGAAATTGATGAAAAGAAAATCTAAGAATGCACCAAAACAGAAAGAAAAAAAAGCGAGTGAATTACGGTGTAAGAGCAGTCGAGGTATTACGTGGAATGAAGGGATTTGGTTTTACGATCTCTGGACAACAACCTTGCATATTGAGTTGCATCGTTCCGGGAAGTCCAGCGGATATCGCTGGATTACGAGCCGGCGATTATTTAGTATCTGTTAATGGCCATAATGTTAGCAAATTGCCCCACGACGATGTCGTGCAATTAATTGGCCGTTCAAAAGGTATTTTAAAGTTACAAATAGCTGAGAATTATTATTCCGATTCGTCTGATGAAGAAGGAGTGACAGCAGTACGCTGCAAGCCCAAATACATTCATAAACCTCGTGCAAGTAACATGGGGGCACTGCAATTGCAATGTAGAGTTGCTAAAGTTGTACGAGACTTACAAAGCGGTGCTATGTTTGATGTAGCAGGGAAAACACCGCCTGAACTACAAAATCATGGAACTTACTGCAATTTACATTATCATTGGGATATGTCTAGTCCTCTTCCACCACCACCACCGCCAGCTTCTCATAAAAGAGATTCTGAAAAAATAGTACATAGAACAGTTGTTGGTTACCTTGGAACTATAGACATTCCAAATCAATTGCATCCATCTTGTATGATGCAGGTAATATGTAGTTTTGATATTCATTTGATATTCGTCAATTTGTTTCAATACAGTTTTACTAATCTTTATTTATCTTTGTAGGTGTTAAGAAAGTGTATCAAACGATTGAAAGCTGAAAAAAGAAATCCAACTACAGTATTACTAACCATACATGTGGCAAATATAAAACTAACTAATTCAGAGAATCGTATTATAGCAGAATATCCGTCCTATAGAATAATATTTTGTAATTCTTTTTCTGAGCAAGATAAACAATATTTTGGAATATTGACGAAATCTGTTAAGGATAAAGAAAATATTGTTTCAAATTCCTGCCATGTTTTTACAATTTACTATAAATTGATTGATCATATAGTACATTCTAGTGTGTGCAATATATTTGGATTTACATGCACTAAAACTTCTGAGCTAAATGTATGTCAGGAATTTCCAGACAGTTGCAATAGTCTGATTGGTGCTATACAAACATTGTACATATCAGATTCAACAGCTACTGATACAAATCCATACAATGAAATGCGAAGACATCAAGAAACTGCTTCACCACAACCAAGCAACATAAGTACATCAACAGCTCATTCGAGTAATAGTGATTCTGGAATTGGTTATAAAGATGATTGTACGAGCCGTTCAGGTAAAAATATACAAAATATTCCCCGAAGAAGATGTCCAACTTCAGAATACAGGGTATGTTGATTACAATGTTCGTCGTACTTAATTCAATCAATTATAATATTGCAAGAGTTTGTAAAATTTACATTGAGAATATTTCATTCTAACTCAGTCAGTAAATATATATTGAAATCTATGTAGTCTCTTTCTTGTTATTTAAAATATAAAATTTCTCATGAATATACCTGTTACATTTTGTTAGTCTATCTGTTTGCATTCTAAAGAAATATTAATGATTGTAATATGTGGACTATTCAATTCATTATGATTATAAAAAAAAAAAAACAAAAATATTTAGAATATATAGTAGAGTTTAAGAGTTTTATATTATTCCTATAATTATCTCAAGTTGAGTAGTCTTCTTTTTATTTCATGAAAATAGATCCGCTTTTAATTAACATGATATGTGTTTAGGATGCGTGTGAATATTCGTCAAGATCATATGGTAACGAAGCTGTAGATTTAAGATTAACGGTACGGGCTGTATCAAACTCATGTTGGAATGAAGCAAATAAATTGAATACGTGCAAAGATAATTTAGAATTGCCTCGTGAAAGTGTGATTTTTAATGATTTTTGCAATGGAATGAATACGTGTACAGAAACGATCGAAAATTCTCAGATGAATTCTGACATACAAAAGGGAACGAAGAGGGGGGACTTGCCCACCTGCCCATTGCCATCTGCTTCAACAGTTAAGCAGGGGTTGCTTAGTTCGTCCGTTTGCACCACCGCGATGTTACACGGTTTAAAAGATCCTGTTGAAACATCCGATAATTCCGCAATTAAATCCCAACGATTGTTGGGATTTACGAAATTAGCGGAATCGAAAGAAATTGACATACCAGACAAATTTAGTCCAAAAGTTTTCTCTGGTATTTCCAAATCTTTAGTACATAGTTTTGAAGATCTTAATACAAGCATGGATTATGTTCGACCGCTCTGTCAAACTTATTCAGATAAATCGGATAATTCACGTCCCTGGGGAAGCTTGCAAGAAATTCGGAACGTTGGAACCTGTGTGCAGAATATCTGTCTGGTAAGAGATTCATATTTATTTCTCCCACGTTCAAAATTAGTTTAATTAAGTGGACCTTAAAGTGAATTACTAATTCATAATTTGAGATTATTGCGATGAAACGAAAAAAAGAATATAAAAAGAAAGAAGAATATTTGCATTAAATGAAAAAATAATAGAGAAAAAGGTATGGAAAAAAGAGGGGATGTAGAGAGTAAGCGAGTGAATCGATGAATGAGTGAACAAGGTAATATATGAATATGAAAGATTACGTGCGAGTAAGTGAGTAAGCAAAAGAAGGAGAGAAGAAGAAAGAAGGTATGTGATGGGAATTAGAGTATCATATTTCGGTTCAACAATTTTATAATTTTCTTAATTAATAAAAATAACTTCACGTAAGAATTCAAATAAATAGATAAATCAACGATGTATTTAGTGCAAATAAAACGAACAAACAACTACCGACAGACAAACCGACCGACCGACTGAGCACTTTGGAAAGGAGAGGGAGAGAGAGAAGGAAATGAAGTACGAGCGAGTATACTCGTAGCGGTAGTGCACATGAGAGTGACATGTTAGACACGAAATAAACGTGATGCTGTCGTAGTGGTTATAATGTTAGTGTTAAACTAATTATTTGGGGAAATTAATTGAATAATCGCGTGTGTAAATTCGTCGGTTCGATTGTAAGAAATCGATCGATCGGTCGATTGCGTCAGTTGTGTCGGTATACGTCGTGTTTGGCTGACCATTGAATTGAACAGACACCGTGCACGGAATCTTAATTGTCAACGGTGCATCGTTGCAGCTGGGCGGAGCCCTTATTATTACGAACATAACGCGATTTTGTTTTAATAAGCTAATTTCGAAGAATAATTAATTCGTTTGTTGTATTATGTTTGTATAGTTATTTTTGTTTTTCCTTCGATAAATGGGATCGTTACGCGTATACATGAAGGAATACGATCTTCGATCACGACATGGATACCGTGGTGAAATCGGTACGTACGAGACGGTTTTATCAAATTGCTGAGAGATTGTATATATGGATTTTCGTTCGATGTGTAATTTTTTCAAAGTTAATCAATTGTTTATAGTAAACAGACAAGTAACAAAATTAAATCGGAACACCTTGTTCTTATTATTTTATAAATTAGGACAGAAAGTGAAATTTTAATGATTTGATTTATGATCAATAGTCGGCAATGTCAAATCGATGTTATGTCGATACGTTGTATACATATATTCTTTCAGGAATTAATTATGATAACAATAATTATTTATGATTTATGATGCATTCTCTTCAATCGTTTTTCAATTATATTTTAATTAGATCATATCGATTATTTGTGATAGCTGTTCAAATTTTACCAATGAACGATATATGTTAGATGAATGACTCACATATATTTGTGGTTGTACATTATGAAATAAGGAAGACAGATATTTTTACTTTAGTTTCTCTTCTTTGGTGTATTTTCCTATATAAAAGTAAAATATGAGGTACTTCTTTCTCTCTTTTTTACTCTTAAATTTATTCATAATTATAAATATGTAAAATTGTTTTAAATACATACGCAATTATTTAATTATATTTATAGCATACTGTAGCATCAAGATCAAGTGACTATGCAAAAGACCATGAAGTTATATTGATAAGCAAATTAAATGTTATATAATAACAGATATTAAAGATTGTGTAAAGATATAATTATATCTATTGTAATTTTTTCTTTTTTATCTTTTGATTTATCTTTAACTGATATTTGTAATATTTGTAACATTAATAATATTCGCAATATTCGTAATCGTAATATTCATAATATTCATAATGTTCGTATAAAGTTGATGGCGCACGCGCTCGATCGTTTCCCCTATGAGTCGTTTAATCCCATTTAACGACGTTATCAATAAAATATAATTTTTTTTAATGCTTCTTTAATACAGCACGGTAGTACACAATTATGTGATAAAAATACTGATTGCAAAAATATACATGCATGGGCCAATGGTTTTGAAAAATTATTGGAAGATCCAAAAGGTTTACAAACATTTGCGGTAAGATCCTTTAATTAATTTTTTTTCTTTTTTTTATTATTGGATAATGCCACGTTACATATTTTTCAACATCTTTTTTATTTATTTTATTTTTATAGGAATTTCTGAAAAAGGAATTTAGTCATGAAAATATTTATTTTTGGGCTGCTTGTGAGAGATACAAAGATACTAAAGATGTTATTACAAGACGAAAATTGGCAAATCAAATTTACCAGCGTCACTTGTCCTCTACAGCAGCTGAACCTGTAAATGTTGATAGCCATGCAACAGGTCAAATAACACAAGAACTTCTCAGCGAAGCACCTGCTGATCTTTTTTTACAGGTGCATCACATGTTTTTTTATTCTTCTGTTCAATTCTGTAGTTGTTTTTATTATTATCAACATTATATTAGTTCTATATTAATTGTTAGTTTGTATTTTATTTTCAGGCTCAAAAACAGGTTTTTAATCTAATGAAATTCGATAGTTATCCAAGATTTTTAAGATCTGATTTATATCGTCATTGTGTAGAAACTGGAAATTCCATAATTGGAGCAGAAGATTGTGATTTAAATCTTACTAGTTCTCCTAGTGTAAAGTTAAAGAAGAGTCACTCGGATGCAGAAGATCGATGTAGAAAATCTATTCTTCCATGGAATAGAAAAAACAGGTATTGATGATAAATAGTATATAATAAATGTTAGTTGAAAGTAAGTGTTATCAGTATATATTCATCAGTGCATCATCAAGTATAATAATATCTTTTTAGGTCTAAATCAAAAGATCGTGGTGAATCTGAATACAATAAAGGTCCTAATAGAAATGAGACTATATACAAGAGTTTTACAACTATGAAAAGAGAAACAGAAGGTAATAACAACGATGACAGTATTTCTATATCTAGCAGCAGATCTTCATTAGCATCATGGGATTTGGCATTAAGGCAATCATTTCACAAACATGTAAGTGTTCTTCTCTCTTCTTTTATATTGTGATTAAACATAAAGAAATTATGCTGTTCAGTAAAGCAATTATATTAAAGGGAAGTATATATAAGTTTAATTGTTGTATGTGTTAGTTTTATTTGCATTGAAAGTGTGTAGTAGATACTCTGGTATTGCAACTATGCGAAGATGTTTGTTGAAAACAAATGTTAGTGTTATTAAGCGCACAATAAATTTCAAATCTACAAAGTTGTTGTATCTATAACTTGTAGTCTTTCTCGTCCTATGAAGGACAGTCGAATGAAACAAAAGAAATTCGTGCTAAATGTACTGGATTATGTCGGGTAATATTACCCGATGGATCGACTACAGTTGTGCCAACTAGCCAAATGGAGAGTATTAAAGATGTGGTTACACGCCTCCTTGATAAAAGAGCTCTTCGATATTCTAACTATGATGTTCTAATCCTAGCTACAGACGAGGTTTGTGATTTCTTGTATTTATTTAATGCATCTTTTAAGACTATTACTCAAAAGTAATACAATAATCGTTGATATGCTATGTATAAAACGTGTTTCTTTCTTGCACATAATCTGAATGGAGTAAGGATTGTGGGAGATTACTGCCATGTGAGAATTGTTATGCATGTATTTGGGGCAGCTTTTGTATTTGGGTATATTTGCATTAAGCTTAGCATAAAATATAATTTATAATATGGTATAAATAATTTGAAACGATTACTTACCATATTTTTTATTATCTACGTATAATATAATATTAATACATAATATAATATAATATTAATGTCTAATAATAATTAAAAAAATTAATAATAATTAAAAATAATAATAATTAAAAAATAAAAAATTTTTTGTGTCTTCAGACTATAGATACGAAATATCCATCATCTGTACTGGCTGGTCAAGAGGTGGAAGTTGTACCAACGAAAATTTTGAAAGTAGATTTACCTTCCCGGCGAACAATAACTGTGATTGCACATAAAGGCAGAACTCTCAAAGATGTATTGAGGCCACTTCTAAATAAGTATGGTTTCAATTTAGAAATGATTACTGTATGGAGTGAAAACCATCGCATTAGTATGGATATACAAGCTATTGATGCTCCTGCAAGACTAGTTTTGACCAACATAAAAGATCAAGGTAATGAAGGTGCTGAACTATAATAAGATTTTAAAAAATTATTAAATGCCGTTAAATGCCTTTTGGTGAAAATAATTTGAAGAAGAATATTTTTGTAGATCCACAAAAGGAGTTAAATACAGTTAAGTACGCACATGATGGATCAAATTCTCAATCCACTCTAGATGAGATCACAAATAGAGTATTTGAAGAACTTTTAGTGGGCAAAGGTTCAAGTAAATATTATAATGATGGCTCATGTAAGGTAATAAAATAATTTGGATTAATTGGTTTAAAATTTGCTTTTATTTATGATAAATTATTTATCATTTCATTTTTGAATATAGTCTGATGATCAACGTTCGGAGAGTTCCTCTATTTTACCAAGCAAATTTTTTCTTCGAGATTCTACAATGCATGGAAAGAAGAAGGTATAATAAACGTCTTTGTATTGAATGTATCACTTTTCAAGAATAATTTTCATATATTCTTATATTTTAATGTTAAAGGGAGGAAAACCTAAATGTAACATAAATGAGAAAACTAATACGAACGATTATGTTTCCGAAGAAACTACAAAATCTCATCCTCCTTTAATAGCAAAATGGCGGAATGGAGTGAAACTGCAATTACCAGGAAAATTCGATGGCGAAGGTAAATTATATTTGAATATTTGTATAATATTGTTAATATTAAAATTATTTGTAACACTAGGATTTGTGACTTTCTGCACAATTATAAAATATATATTGTTATAATATTTATAGATTTATACGAAGGTTTAAAACGAGCACAAAGGTCTAGATTGGAAGATCAGAGAGGCACAGAGATCAATTTTGAATTACCAGACTTTCTAAAGGTAAACAAAACGAAACTTATATCTTCTAAGGTATAGTAATGCATATTTTTCTAACGATATCAAACATAAGATTTCACAAAGCATATTGTCAGTTATCGTATTAACGTAAATACATTTTATTTTTAAAATTTTTATTATGCAATGCGTTTCGACCCTTAAAGCTATGAAATTACTGATCAGAACAAGGAAAATGGTAAGCCGACGGATCGCAACAAAGTTCGGAGACCTAGGATAATATCTGCCAATTGCGAAGCAAATGCCAAGTTTTATAGTTCGATTCATGAACGACAAAACTGTAGTGGACATGATCAAAATACGACGATAACTACAACATCAATAACAACGACAACAACAACATCAAATACAACTAAGACGTTGGCTTTAGCAAAGAATGGAAATCTTGATGAACGATTCCACGTATTTGCTGGAAAGGAGTTGCAGAGTAAGTCTTCAAATAATTCGTTCATATTAGATACAACTTTGATGGACGGAGATCGGACCGTTTTAGAGAATGGATCTTGCTCCCGAACTACTGCTTTGGATTCTTTTGATACTCAAGTCAACTCGCTAGGTGTAATAAAATCACCGAGACCTCCGCCCCTTCCGCCAAAGCCAAAAAATCTTATAACGTGTGCAGCAAAAACTGGATATATCGTGTCTTCGAAATCTTTACCAAAGTCTAATTGTGCCGTTTCTTTAAGTCCGACCGAATTTACTCGGAAAAATATTTTATAACGTGTTACATTGAAAAAACGACATTCGAGTGTCACATATTTTCGTATCTAGTGTACGAAATGTACCATAAAATGAGCGAAGGTGTCTTCTAATTAATTATATATGTAATATAAAGTTATATATAAAGCAAAATGTTGATACGAAAAGATTTGTATCTGTAGTATTATTTAGAACTATGACGATTACGAGTACAATTATGTATTATTACACTTCGTCTCGATTGGTAAGGTGCCCGATCCTCAAAGATATCTTTATACACGATGTATTTTTAATCATAAAAATTATATCTATTTATGATGTTTTTACGGTACAGCTGTTATTCTCCTGGTTATACAGGACATATATTTTATTATTGTAATTTATAGTGAATGAACACTGTTATACGCAAACGACGAAAAAAATATTTGAAATTTTATGCGCATTAAATAAATTATATAAACTTTGTTCTATAGAAGTGTTTCTATATTAATTCAATGTTTATTTCGACTCGAGCAGTAAACAAAAAAAAAAATTTTAGCTATCTAAATTCGCATATTCGCATATATATATATATATATATATATATATATATATATATATATATATA